TGCAGGGGGTGCCCTGTGCAGCAGCAGCAGGGTGGACAGGGTGGGTGTGCAGGTGGGAGTCCCTGGCTGTAGATGATGGTTCTATTTCAGAGGCATAAATCTGTTCTCTGGAGCTCTTGCTCGACAGTCCCTGTAGTGCTGCTTCGGAGTGGTGCTGCCAATGATGTGTTTCAGGAGGGCGTAAGAAAACTCTGAGATGCTTTGTGCAGTGATGCCAGTGATACAGTTTAAATGCTCCACAACCTTAAAAAAAAAAAAATCCCCAAAAAGATACTTATTTGCAGTGCCCAAGAGACATTACTTTTCAGACATACTTCTTAACCCTCCAAATCTAACAAGGATAATAGTGGTCCCTGGGTGTACACTAGTGTCTAGTGCAGACAGAAGCTGAAGCCTCTCAGGATGGTTTTTTGTTTGTTTCCTGTCTTGTTGGGTTTTATTTTTTTTCTTTTTGTTTTATGCCTTTTTAAAAAAATTTAATTGCTTCTACTAAAGAAGTAAAATGAAAAAAGCTACTGTCTGTTAACAGGCTGTTTGTGACAGGATTCAGTAGCAGTTTGGGCAGAAAGTTGTCCCATGGGATTTCTTTTTCACCTGTGAGTGAAATGATGTCTGCAGGGGTTTGTTCTGGAGGAAGAGCTGACAGGAGAGCGAGCACGAGGCCTCCTGCAGAACTGCCTGTGTACACTCAACACTCACAAATAAAATACACACGCTTCCTGCTAAAACCCTGAGCGATGCCACCTCCCTCCCGCTGCCCCCAGCACAGTCCACCTCTCTTCTTGCTGTGCTTAAACACAAACAACCTTCACATTGTTTTTCACGCAGAGCTGATGTGCTCAGCAGTGCCTGTACCTGCTTCCACTGCTCAGGGTTTAGTACAAACACGCTTGTGCTGATGATTCCAACAGCCAAGAGCATGAAATCTTCCTTTACTGTCAGAAACTTTGCTCTGCAGAAGTAAAAGCGTCTTCTGGTGTAAAATCATGTGAGTTTTACAGTTCAAAACCACCTGATTCTGTAATGGCTGCACAGCCTACGGACACGTTAGCTTAATCAGTCTTTCAGTCCAAATAAAGCCTGATGTTGATGTTAATTAACAGTGCTACAGCTGGATTTTTATTATTTAAGTTAAACACTTTCCTAGCTTGCCCCTAAAGCAAATGTGGCGAGGCCTTTGAACTGATTCACTAAGGTCAATAAACAATGCTGAAAGCTCCCCAAATTATTGTTATTTCTTTTAAACCACACCCAAAAATAAGACATAATGGGAATCACGCTACTGTTTCTTAAGGGTTTTTAGGGGTTTTCATTTCAAACAGTTATTTTAAGCAACAGTCACGTAAGCTACTTACACCTGCAGTTGGTTTGGTGTTGAATTTTCAATGGCAATCTTCAACAAAGTCTCATAGATGGCATCTCGGGTAAGATAGGAGAAGTCCAGTAGCTGCACACACATCTGATGCAGTGGCTCTGCAGGAAGCAGGCAGCCGTTGTGTCCTAGCACAGAGACCGTACGTCAGCCACGCGGTTTCAGTCACGTTAGTCACTGTCAGCAAGAGATTCAGATTTCTGGTGATGATGCCCTTTGTTTCTGAATGCCACAGGCCTTCTCGTGCCACAGGCTGTTTCACTCATTCTGAACTACAGGTTGTCAGACCTGGGCAAAGAAAATGGCAAGTCATTGCAGAAAAAAAAGTGGTCTCATGCTAGGGCTTGGGGGTTTTAAACTCTAAATCTCTGGCTGAGTCATGACTGGCTGTCCAACAACATCCATCAGATTCTACTAAGGACAAAGTTCTCCTCTGACAAGAAAAGCTCTGGACAATCTGAAAAGTCTCCTGTGCCTTCACAGGATGCAGAAATCTGTAACACCAGATATTTTAGTTCAGATCACTAACAGCTCTGTTATGCTCTCAGGTAATTAGTTCCCATTCTTTCCTGTTCACACTCTCACCTAAAACCTCCAGCAGCAATTCCGTGTAGGCCAGAGGAGTCGACACGTTGATCTGGAAGTGCAAAGTTTTTAAAACAGCAAGCTCTGACTCAAGCAATTCCAGTTTAGTGTACGAGTATTTTAAGGACTGCAGAAATTTTAAAGCTGTGTCACTGTTAACTATCTAAAGAGGAAACAAAAATACAGATTATCTTCTAGACAATAAGGTACCTGCTCAGAACAAAAGTATTTTCTTGCTTTGCTCCCCCCATGGGATTTAAGCACGAGCCCCTGCAGTGGTGGTGCTGCCGCCTCACCCGGCGGTCTGACTCTGCTGGTGTGAGAAATCCAGCTGGGACCTTCTTTCCCCAGGTGTCCTCCCCCCAGACAGGTGTGAGCCCTCTGCACCACACAGGTTTCGACAGCCCCAGGCTGAGTTTTCCTGCTGCCTGTACTTCTTTTCCCAGAATCACAGAATCACAGAATGTTGGGGATTGGAAGGGACCTCAAAAGATCATCCAGTCCAACCCCCCTGCCAGAGCAGGAACCTAAATGAGATCACACAGGAAGGCGTCCAGGCGGGGCTTGAATGTCTCCAGAGAAGGAGACTCCACCCCCTCCCTGGGCAGCCTGTCCCAGGGCTCTGGCACCCTCACTGTAAAGAAGTTTCTTCTCAAGTTGAAGCAGAACCTCCTGTGTTCCAGCTCACACCCATTGCCCCTTGTCCTACCATTGGGCATCACTGAGAAGAGCCTGGCTCCATCCTCCTGACATTCACCCTTTACATATTTATAAACATTAATGAGGTCTCCCCTCAGTCTCCTCTTTTCCAAGCTAAAGAGACACATTTAGCTAAAGCTAAATGTTCCCCCAGCACTGGGAACATTTCCTGACAACTTGTTACTTGTTGAGTGATAATTAACCTATTCCTATTGGGTTTCCATTTCAATATCCTTTACATTTCGTTATCACTACTGTCTTTCAGAGAGGAAATCTATTTAAGAGAGATTAATATACTACACAATTTAACACTGCTAAAAAAAAAATGCTAGAGGAAAAGGTTTAGCTGGCTTACATTGTAGTGTGAGGAAAGTTTGCTCGCAAGCTGCACGCACGAGACAAGGCGCAGGACAAACGTGCTGTGCAGCTGATCTCTCAGGGAGCTCCAGCTGCTCCCTCGTCCCTCCTCATGGCTTTTAATGTTCTCTCTGGAGGACTTACAGATGGGTTCTACTTGCTTGATCATAAACCTACAGAAACCAAAACTGCTCAGAAAACAGTTCCCTTCTGCTAAGAAAAAGGAAGACAAGCAATTCTGCACGTGCTCAGAATACACTGACAGCTGTTAATTGGAATTAAATGAGTAAAGAGACAAAGCTCCAGACACACAAAAAGCATTACACACGGAACGAGCAGTACAGAGCGTGTGCACTGTTAACCACGTGAGAGACACAAGGAATGTACTGAACAGGCAGGATAATTATTACCTTTCAAGTAACTCCACCGCCTGGTACCTCGCTGACTGGTCCAGGTGCCATTTTTCAGACAAAAGGAATATAAATTCTGCAAAAAAAGCACAACAGTCATTTGCTTCAGTCAACTGCAGCCAACTCTGCAGCTGTGACCCACCTCAGGAGTCAGCTGTAGCTGAAAGAGCCTCACCCACTATCTGTGTCTCCTTGAAGCACCCAGCCCAGTCCGACAGCTCGCTCAGGTGCTGTTCGTTTTCCGTGGCCAAGCGGATTAGCGTCTCCTCAATCATCTCGGGAGCCACCGCGCCAAAGATGGGGCCTGGGTCACGGCACCGGGACGCTGCTGGCACCGGGGACCCCATTCAGCAGGCCAGGCCAGAGGCTTTAAGGACGACAAT